ATGAATTTTAATATGTGTATTCCTTATGGTCTTTGTGTTTTCGATCAATAAAGTCAGCATCTCAGAAATGAAACAAGAACAAAAAAAAGAAAAAGAATGAATAACCTCTCGCTCGGCAAACCACGCTGCTGTTTGGAGTCGATGGCTGGAGGCGCGGAAGGGATCTCTGAAGCACCGGCGAGCTGTGAGCCCACACCTACGGATCCGCCCTGAAGAAGACCCCTGCCGCGGCGCGTGGGCGCCTGCATGAAACACCTTTTACTACAATCCCAACTCTGGCCTTCATTGTACGTCGCGTGCACGTCAACGCTATGATCAGCATCTACCTTTTGTCGCGTTTCAGCCTTGGAGCTCATGTTTGCGGTGGTCTTGCTTACTGCACATAATGACCTGAGCTGAGGGTGAGTGAACTATTTCACCTTAGATGTCTTGGTATAATACGTCTGGATTTGATCGAAATAAAAATGAGTGCAGGTTCAGAGTGACGTATGGTGGAGATGTTGAATGGAAATGTGTTTGAATGTTGTTTCTCAGCAGTGTAATCAGGAGAATCTGGATTTTCATGATCCCACCCAAGGGGGGGGGGGTGGGTGACAAAACATTAACAAATTGTATGTTTTCGAGCGTCCCTGGAACAACAAATAAACAGCATGCGTGATCTGATAGTTTTGCAATCGACATTAAAGCTGAATGTAAAGTAAACCTTTCAAACAAAGCCACAGCATCCAGTGAACCACTGTGAATCACTGACGTTCATTACAAATGTTCCCGGGTCTTACGAATCGAGAAATTTCGAGGTCTCTTTGGGGTACCGGGCGGTTCGGCGGCCTTTGCCAGCACTCGACGTCCGGGCGACTTCTTGTACTGGACGAACGCACGCGGGGGCCCGGCAGCACACGACCACGGCGGGGGGGGGGGGCTCCTGAGCCGCGAGCAGCTGCCCGCGCTTTGACTTTGGGAGCTTGAGCCAGAGAGACCCGACCAGTCCGGCTCTGGTGGACCCGAACAATGAACTGGAAGCGGCTGAAAGCTGCTCAGTGGTGCTCAGGCTGAGCTCTTCATCATTCATCCGGCTCGGTGTGGATACAGAAAGCCTCGCGCGATGTTTGCCAGCCAAAGTTGCATTTTACATTTCATTAAATAGTAATATATATCAAGATGTAATTAACGTTGAGTTTTATTTCCTCCTGATGGACTCCTCAACAGGATGGGATCCCTCACAGGGATGTTCAAGCGGCTAAATGCTCCCGATCCTCATTCCAACGTTGGAAGAACCGGGAATGGATGATATTTAACCTGTTATACGGTCCCACTATGCAGATCTGCTCCTATGTTCATTGACAAAGTCTTCTCGGTGCTGGAAAAGAGGCTCCTGTCTTCACTAACACCCATTCCTCTTGAAAGTCAAGTAGGATCAGCTGGAAATGATTCCCTACTTGCCAGCAGGGATTAGACAATGTGTTGGACTGGAGACGAGCAAAGAGGGGTTGAATGAAACGCTAAAGGGAGTCTGACCTGAAACGAGCCTCTCCCGACTTTCTCCGAGCGTTTCGCACCAAATCACTTCACCGAAGCTTCGGTGCAAACATGAAGACCAAAGTGCCTCTGCATTTCTTTCACCGATGCGAGGAAAGTAATCCATTCGTTGTCTGTTAAATTGATTCCTTCCAAATTGTTTACCTCGGCTTCTTCTTTTCGAAAGAATGCATCAGCCCAGGTGATGATGAAGGAACAAAAATGACACATAGATCCCTGAAGCTAAAGCACAGCGGCGGGTTTATTTTAAACACCCGCCAGACGACATGATGGGTAAACTGAGGGGAGGGGAAGGGGCTCTTCGCCAGGTCTCCTCTGGGGTTAGTTTGCATCGTACAGGCGACCTCCGTCCTGCCGTCCCGCCGCCCCCCCTGACTGTGCCTCAAATCTAGCATGAAGCCGTTATTATCACATGGAAATGAGGAGGACTGTGACCTTCCAGGGTGCGTTTGAAGAAGCCCAAATGTCAGTATCCTGTGACAGATCCGGATTCGTCTGTCCCAGCAGAACGCGCCAAACACGTCGCACGCCGCTGGCCGCCGGCCGCCGTCGCCCGTTTACCCCCCGGGGGACCATCAGGGTCGCAGACGGACCCGGCTCTGGAGGACAGATAAACAGTGGCGCCCTGGATGATCTCTGGGCTCCTTTTTCAGGAGCGTCGCAAGTGAACTGCAGTGTTGGTCGGAGCGCTCCGGCTGCGGCCCCAAAATAACCGCCATTACAGGCCGCAATCAAACAGCTGACAAATGCACCATAGGAGACCCTAGAAAGACTCCAGGCGGAGGTCATCCTTCATTCTGCCTTCAGCCTGGTCGCCGTTTCACATATTCTGAGGTACCGCATGAGAACAGCACAACGGCCTCATTTAATAAGGGTTCACCAATGGCAGATTCTTGTCCTTTTTAGTCGACGCCTTCGATCGGCGAGGCGGTTTCCCGTAACAAATCAAAGAAATCCTGATGTAGCGAACGTTTAAGTTCACATGACTGATCAGATGACTGTTGAATTTCAGTCACATGACTGATCAGATTGCCTCCCTGGACACACGGAGGTGTCTCATCCGTCTTTCTTTTGCTATATGAACCAAATGGGCAAACTGACTGCTGGTATTAGTTGCCCGTAGCAGCAGCTTCTGATGAAATTGGCTTCACGCTTGATAAGGAAACACGGCTATTGTTGCTCGCCCATTGGGCACAGCGAACCCCGGAACGAAACACGCCGCTCTCATGTCAAAGCACTTATTGCTTTTTTTTCCTCCAACAAAACGACGCTCGTTGAAACTTGAAACCCGTCATTTGTCCCATTTGCCGTCATTCCATCTGAACCGGCTTCTGCAAACACGTTACCTCGACTACCTACTGTTACGGAGAGCGGTCCAGTGGACATAAAGCGTGTCGACAACCCGCTTTGGTTTGTAATGGAAGGCTCCGCGGGTTCGCACGTGTTTGTGTTGTCCTTCCTTAATATTTAACTAGCATTAATAATTAAATAAATCATTAATAAAACAATCATCCACATTGGATCAGTCGAATGGATCAAGACTTACGAGCGCACAAACAGAACCCTTTGAGCCAAATCTCCCCCCCCGAGGCGTCGGCGAGTTCACACTTGCGTACACCGCCTGAACGGGGCACCAGAACGTCTCCGGATCCACTCTGCGTCGCCGTCTGCAGACTATTTAAATAGATCAACGCTAACTGGGGCGCGCAAACACAACTTCACATCAGTCGCATTCCGTCAAGCCCTCGGAGCAGCCTCAGAACTGCGCGCGCACGACCCTTAAACAACAGGCGCGCTGCCGCTTCACCCGTTGGGCACCACCTGTATGCAGCTGTCATCTACTGTCAGTTTCTGTGCACAATCACAAGCGATTGCATTGTGTACGTGGGAGATGTCGAGTTTACCTCCACCGCCTCTGCAGGCAGCTGCTGCCAGTTAAGAGAAAACAACTGACTGGTTTGTGTCCAGCTGGTGAACATGAAGTAGCATTTAGCTTCAGCAGCTAAATCCTACTGCAGGCAGATTGGCCTGTTTAAGGGCTAAACAGAGCTAGAATTGTATGAATATGTTCATCAGGGGGCATTAAAATACGACCGCTGAATGGGTCTGTTTTGTGATTTGACTGTTTTCATTCAATGTCATTACCTAACTGCAAAAAAACGGAATATTTCCGTGAAACTCAAACAGATTTAAACGTAACACATGTTTACATATTTGTGTATCTTATATTGTTGGGTCTTGTTATGCAGAAGTATAAACCGTTTTCCCGTGTAAAGTGGCTTCAGTCACTCGTTTATATACAATATAATAAGATAGAAATATTAAATTATTAATTTAATTAAATATTTCTATCTTATTATATTGTATATAATTTATCTTTTTATTCTATTTTCTTTCCTGTACATGCTGCTGTGATACCCAAATTTCCCTCTTGAGAGATCAATAAAGTATCTATCTATCTATCAGTCAACGCGTGTCTTCACACCAGATGTAAATTGGTGAAATTCTGTTTGGAAAAGCTCGTTTCAGTGTGTCGCAAAATTGCCTTGAGTGCTTCTGAGCAGCAGATGTGCTCAAGCAGTGGCACGCATTAATAACTACCGAGAGGAGAAAAGAAAGATGGCAATAAGCTGTCATAACCTTGATTTCAGGGCCCCAATTAAGAGCTTAGTCTCGCTCACGAAGCCCCCACGTGGAGAGCAGCAGACCCTTCGCTGGTTGCTGTTCTGTGGGCTGAAGCGTCGCAGCCATGATTATGAAAACTCCAGCTTTAGAAATCAAACAGTGGGAGATTATTCATCCAGGCGGCATGCACCATCACCATCGGGCATCCTTCCCCCCCAACGACCACCCGTCAGCATCAACGCTGACACGTTTAACCATCTAACCTGTTGGCAGATGCAAAAGCCCCGGCACGGGCACCGGGGAAAACAGGGAAAATAAATAACAACAACAACAACAGCAGCGAAAACGACTGAGGAGGAGTGCGAGTCGAGATGAGTTGGCTGGCATTGGAATGAACGCGAATGTTACAGAGGGCAGATTAGGGATGGAACGACAAGAGGGGGGTGGGTGGGGGGGGGGGGACCCCACAACACCCTCAGCCTCTCACTTTCAGCTGGGATACACATTTATATAAATGTATATAAGGCAGGTGTGTTTGCCAGGCGTCCAATCACACAATGCAATGATCCCCAAACACCGGAGCCGCGTGCCGCACATCACCGAACCCCGGACGGCACCGCGCACATCCAGATGAAACCATCTGGATGACAAAGCACAAATGAGACCCCCCCCCCCCCCCCCCACCACCACCACCCTCCTTTCCCACCCCTCTCCGTCCCATCCAGTTGCCCACGACGCACAATTGGCATGGTGACATGAATGTGCTCCCCGGTGATCCCGCTGCACCAGAATCAAATCATAAATGGGACCCGGCGGCTCCGCGCCGCGCGCGCACTTACCCGGACTGTCATGCAGAGAATTCTAATTCGGGCAGCTCCATGTTGCCACGGAAATTCAAAACGCCTCCGAAAGCATGGGGACGCGCGGGTGCGGGACCGGGTCGAAGCGGGGAGCGGGCACGGAGGGACGCGCGCGGGCGGCGTGAGTCCCCTCTCGTCCGTGGGGCATTTAAAGAAATGCCTGCGTCCTCTCCAGATGCTCTAAATGCGCGCGCGCTGATAGGCTGACGTGCGGGACGACGCGCGCCCGCGCGGCTCTGCTCGCACACGCGCTCACATGCACGCTGCACCTAGCGGGAGGATGGAGAGAGAGAGAGAGGAGGGAGGGAGGGAGGGGCGGCACGGGAGGGAGGGAGGGGGGAGGAGGAGCTGCAGTGTGGGTTGGGGGGGTTGGGGGGGCTCCTCGCATCCTTGTTGACTGTAGTTCTCCTCCTTCTATTCATGGGGGCACCGGGATGATCCGGTTCGGCAGGCTGGGGAAACAATTAGTGCGCGTGGACAATGAAAGAAAGTAGGGGGGGGGGGGCAGGAGGAGGGGGGCAGGAGGAGGGGGGCACTACAAGGATGTATGGAGCGACATTCAATGTCTGATGGTTGAATAAGGAGGGTTCTAGCCAGTATGAGGATTAACACCCCCCCCCCCCCCCCCCCACCCCATCACGAGAACTCACCTTTGCAGTGAGAAGCGTGAGGTGAGGGGTGGTGGTGGTGGTGGGGGGGGGGGGGTGTTAAGGTGCCAATGAGTATGTGTGGGGCTGGCCCAGGCATGCTGGCAAAGCCACACAAGCTCCACCGTCAGGGGGTGTTTGTGGGAGATTAGGGGGGGGGGCTTGAGGTCTTAGTGGAGCAGCAGGGGGGGGGGGGGGGGGGACACAAAGGGGGCCGCTGGCCACGGAATGAACCCCCCCCCCCGTCACAAATCTGAGGCTTGGAAAAGAACATCTCCTGCTACGCATTGGATCCCATTCGTTTGTCTTTATCGAAGAGACTCGTGTTTTTTATTTCATCGTGATCCCCTCTAATGTGATCCCGCTCGACGTGCACCTCCTGTACCCGCGTGTTGTCGTGCTAAAGCTGCAGGACAAGCAGCAGCGCTGACGAGGTCCCTGCCGGACAGTAAAACACACAGAGGGGGAACAGACCTGTTCGGGCTGTCGGGATTAAAATAAGGGGGCAAAGCGCTCCACAGCAATACCACGTTAAATATATTCATGGCTCATTTCCCCACCGGAGGCTAATCAGAGAGGGGCGACTCATGCCTGCGGTGTGCGAGATATAAAACAAGATGAAATGCGAGTGAGATTCGAACGGATGACGGCAAGGACAAGGACCGCCCCGACACAGACCAAGATGAATTTCATTTCTTTTCTCCACCTCTTTCATGGTTCGGAACGCCGGCGTCCCCACGATGGCCACTTAGAAGAGATTGAGACAGCTGATTCATGACATTTTCATTTACGTTCAATGGCGCCATGAATTTCACCATTCCCCTGTCAGCAGATGTGAGACCACGTGACCCCGAAGCCCCTGGACAGAAAAGCACCGGTTTGCATTGTGATGAGACATAACTCAATAGCAATCTGCACGGGTATTTGAGGGCTCTCTCTCGCTCTATTAAAATGCAAGCAGTCCGTTCAAATAACTGATATCCCGCACGCGGGGCGATAAGTTTCCATGAAGATGCAGATTTCAGAATAGCAACGGGCTCGGGGGCCGTGAGTTACCGTCTGACGGGAGGCCGGGGGGGGGGAGTTGGAGGCCCGTTCCTCCTCCTAAAAGCTTCTCACGCCCAAAATGTCGCTGACTTCAATGTGCACGAGGAGTCTTTCTGTGGCAACAATTGATCCAAAGCGAAACCTCCGTGCTGCTTTCCAAGAAATAATTCTCCTCGTGGTGAAAACCTCTGACTGACTGCTGGCTTTTCATTTATATGCAGATTATATATCGGAGTTGACAATAGTTTTTAAAGTAAAAATGTGTCTGTTTTTTTCAGCGAAAGGCAAGTTTTTTAAATATTCATGTGTATTCTTTGTGTTTTTTAGCTGGCAACCATCAATTTGGCTCTTCAGATTAACTCTCAGGGGTCTTTTATGTTTCCTCACCAGACTCGTTCTAGGCTCTTTCTTGTGCACTTAAAGCTGAGGAAGGTTTGTCTTTTTTTTTGCAACATTGGGGGAAAAAAAAAGTTCAATTTTGCAAGTTTTCCGATTGCAAGCGCCGCGTGCTGCACCTCCTCGCGGCTCAGACGGGAGACCTGCAGCGCTCCAGAGGGAGAATGTCGCTGACGTCGTACCTCGGGCCGAGCCTCGGATCGCTGCGTTGCAACTCAAGGGGCTTGAGAGGGTTTCGCAAAGAGAGAATGTTCACGATGGCACATTTCTTTACATGTGCTTTCCGTTCTTAAGGCTGAAAAAGAAGATATAACTTTAAAACACGGAGAAAGGCTTTTAATGCTTTTAATACACAAACATGGAGAAAGCCAAACCAAGCACTCAGCAACCCGACTTCTCCTGGTCGGCCAAAGCAGTGTTTGAACCATATGGATTTTCTACTCACTCTACAGCTCTTACTTTAATAACGTTCTAAAATGACCCCCAGTACAGTAAATTGCTTATAGTTAAATGCTAAAACCTCCACAAGGAGCTTTTATTTGTAAAAGGTATCCGAACAGAACAGAATTGTGTGTGTGTACAGAGAAGCTGTTTGCTCTCACATGCTATATGACTACTGTCCTCTTTACCATTAGCAGAAAGTATAAATGAGCAAATGCATGTTTTTTTATGGAGAATCCTCAAAGGGGAAAGATTCCCCGCAGCGTCGCATGATGGGAGAATGCCGTCCTACCTGTATTTTCATGCATTTATCTTTCAAGCGCTGGCGACCGTCGATCATCACGGAACCACAACGCGGCTCTCAGCCGGGTCCCTAAATTGATTTGGTGGGTGTTTTTCTTTCGGGCGCTGTGCCGTCTGCTCGGTGGTTGGAGTGAATAGATTTGAACGGTGATTAGTCACTTTGTGTTATGTTCAGTTGACATCCTGTGATCCAGTATTGTTATGGCGCCGACCCAACTCTTCAACTCCAGCCTTCTATTGTGACTTTTTAAGAGCAGCTTTGCAAAAGCAACACACCTGATAATGTTCCAGCAAGTCATTATTGTGCACTTTATGCCGAGACAGGAACTCAGTCTTAAATCTGCATTTGGATGTGAAGCTTCTAGTTTTTTCCTGTATTCTTATTCGACTGTCGCTCTTTCTGCCCTTAATAAAAGTTAACACATTTTTGTAAAAAACGAGTTTGTTTGCTCTCAGAGCTCCACCTCAAAACGTAGGAGCAGCCGAATAAATACTAATGCCGCACATGTAAGTATGTGCTCTTACTAATGCGCTCGGAATAGGAACAATCACCACCGTCTCGATCTTTACATGTGGCCCCTTGCCAGCGCCGCAGATTATAAATTCATGATCTGTTAAGTGCAAAACCTCCGGGGGCACTGCGAAGCTACAACTTGGAAGGCTCCATTCACCTCTCAGCCACTTCCTCCAAAACGCCTCGTAGCTGGAGGACACACTTATGCTTCCTGATTTACAGATATTTTCACCCAGTTCCCTGTTGGCTCCGTTCGACGTCACCTCGTAGTGGCTGTAACACGTAGCTGGGAATACCTTGTAAACATCTCAACCTTAAATAAAAGTGTTTTTACAGTATTTCCCTGTCCCCAGATGTTAGTGTTACTGACAGTAACTGCTGAGCAAGTTTAAAACTTTTACACTAAATCGCTGTAAATAGGTCAACGTACCATAAGTTATTCTGCAGCCACATAAGTGAGATGTCAAGAGACATGGAAACCGATGCTTAGTTTTTACGGTAGAATTAAGGCCGATCAGTGTGCGTTTCACGCTTTCACACCAGCCACAGCTGGTGTTGTATTTCTAACATGTGGGGGGGGGGGCTTTACCATATAGAGACACGGCAGCCTCTCCAGGACGTCACTGGCAGCACTTTAGAAATGCCCAAAAAGTCTATTTTCACAGCTACCAATCAGTTTTTTTTGTTTGCCCGAACCCGAGGAAAAAAAAGACCATTATTACCTCAGACGCTTCTCTAAAAAAAGATATCAGAGATTGCACTTAAAGGGCTACGGGGTGGGGTTTAGTTTTTGAAACATCAAAGACTGCTGAGTTTTGTCCTATTTGGCCTCCCATCCTCCATCACAAGCATCCATCATTAAAAACATGCCAATCTCTGTATTAACTTCTCACTTCACTACTTCACCAGCATTTCTTGCAGTGGGGGTGTCTCCTCTCCTTGCAAAAAGAGGTGTGATTGCGTGGAGGGCGATGAGAAGAGGCCCCTATGTCCCACCCACTTTATCACCCCATTAAAAACCGCAAAGACGGGTTTATGGTCTCCGTCGCCGGTCTCTTCACAGGTCGACCTGATTCATTAAGTCACAAGTTTTCACTCTTAGGCCCAACCTGCTGTTTGATTAGTGCAAATCCAGGAGAAATGCAATGGGGGAGGGAGATGCGAAGCTGTATACAGTCTTTCATCCATCCCAAACATGCAGGTCTCCTTTTCTCTTGTGGTTGATGAATGATTTCGGAGCACAGGGGAAAAAAAAAAAACCCACACGAGGAAAGCACTTGTATGTGTTCAGGTAAAGCAAATGGTTATCAGGGCTAGATGACGTTCAATAATTTAGCTTCTGACAGATGACAGGTGACTAAAAATGTGTGAACAATGGCAACGATGCGGTGGATGATTGGCAGCCAGATATGCATCCAGTACTCGGCATCTCGAGACTCTCGCACCAGGCATTGATTGTGAGAGTGCATCACTGAAGTATTGGGTAGTACAAGTATTCATGTTTCAATTAAACCTTCAGCATGTCTGTGTCTTCCTTGTAAATGCAGTTTGTGCGCATAGACGGATCCATTTGATCCCCAAAGAACTGCGAGATTTGTGTATTTGATTGAAGACCTGGGCGAGACCTTTTCATTGGCTTAGTTCATGACTCAGGAGGATTATGTCGTGGCCTGATAGTGTTGGGTCACGGTGGAGCGTTGGGGTCCGACTCATCGGATGTCGAGGAACCGGCGCATGGTTCGATCAAGCGAACACATGAAAGGTCGTGGTAATTGGCAAAGCTCGTTGCGTTTGTATCTAAATGCATCTAATGGCAGAACAACGAAAGCCTCACTGAATTGAAATGAGGATTTAGCCAGATAAAGGGCCAAGGGATTAGTGGTGGAGTCAG